GTTCCTTGTTATAGTTCTAGTATAATATACCCAAACCCTATTCTGATTATGAAGGCCCCTAGATTAATTCGCCTTAAACCGCTCCAGGCAGATCGTCTTGATCACCCAGAGCTCGACAGCATGGAGGCAAACACGAGGAGGGAGGACCAGAGTTCAAGGCGCGAGTGGCAGCCGGAATCCAAATTGCCGGCTGAGGGCATGCTGCACACGGGTTTAAAGTATCTTGCGTCGTAGAAGGTCCCCTTCCACCAGATCTTGTCGCAGGAGAAGTTGTAGTCGTCACATCTTAAGCAGGAGCCCGAGGAAAACTCCTCCATCAAAGCGTTCGAGGAGCAGTCAAAGTGGCCGATGTTCGATCCTGGGTTCTTCGAAGTGTCTGCAAGCCCATTTATGAGAAGATGCCTCCATAAGACCTTAAAGGATCCCAGGACCTCCAGCTACCGAAATACTGCTATAGTAGGTTACTGGGGCACATAATCTATGGCTCGTAACATACTACTTAGGTAACTGGAGCCCTGGGGATGTTATCTGAGCATCCCATGCCGCCTTGGAGCCATTTAAGGAGCACTCGAAGAAAGACGAGCGTTCCGCGCACATGTGTGATCCCAACCTTCCGAGCTCTCAGAACATGGGCTGGAGTGAGGAGTTGGGGAGGGGGGTCCCTATACTTCGTTAATTTGGCTACAAACTTAAGAGTCAATGAATGTTTAGATACAGTATTTTCAATACAAGTATACACACACACACATATATATATATATATGTATAACGGTCCCATACTGTCCCATAGTTTCTCCAACTCCCACACGATGCTGCCGACTTGTGTTGAATCTCTGGTGCCAGTAAGCTCGCCACTGCAGGCGTAGCGCTCCGTTGTCACAGTCATGCTCGCGTAGCTGGAGTTGTACTCGGAGGGCACCGAAACCGCAGCTCTTGCCGAATCCGAGGTCAGGAGGGCAAGCAGAAGAAGCTGCCACAAATACATGTTGGCAGCAGTTTAGGGTTTAGGGTTTAGGGTTTAGGGCAGAGTCTCGAGACAAGACGCACTTGATGCTCAAGTATACGACTGCTCAACAACGAAAAAGTTCAGCGCTGACGGATGTTCGTGTCATGAAGCTTTTGCACCGGAAAGGACACGGCTTGCTGATACGACGAGAAAGGGGCATGAGCCAATGATGCAGCGAGCACAAGAAGTTAACTGCGGTGTACCTTCCCTTGCGCTGTCAGGAACAGCAAACCCCATGTAAACTCCTACTTTTTGTAGGGTACTTATATGGTTTATTATGAGGGTTAGGCGGATAATAAGAACCTACTTAAAAGGTAGGCTATGGTATTTTAAGGTATTCGAACATAAACACTGGATCAGGGCAGGAAGCTGATACTTCTCCATATTAGGATCCCTTTAGGGTGTCCCGGGTTCCCTTTTTATAGGGGTGTCGTACTATTTTCGGGACCTTAAACCCTAAACCAAAAACCTAAATCCTAGACCCACCTAAAAAAGGATCCTGACCCTAAACACTAAACCCTAAACTGCCCTAGAAGCGATCCACCAAACCTTCAGCCGAACCTCGAGCGATCCAAGGCTGGTTCAGGGAAGCAAATAGCACTCGGTCGTACTTTAGTTTTAAGTTTTTTTTGGGGGGTTAGGGCTTAACTTGAGATAGTTTTTGCTTTGGGTGTTTTCGGGCTTAACTTTAGCAATTTTTAGGTCTTGGGAGGTTCAGGGCTTAACTCTAGTCCTGTTTTATGTCTTGGGTGGTTTAAGGCTGGTTCAGGGAAGCAAACAGCTCGCGGTCATACATTAGTTTTAGGTTTTCTTTTTTTTGGGGGGGGAGGTTAGGGCTTAACTTTAGTTTTATGCTTTGGGTGTTTTCGGGCTTCACTTTAGCAATTTTTAAGGTCTTGGGAGGTTTAGGGGCTTAACTTTAGTCCTGTTTATGTCTTGGGGTGGTTTAGGGCTTGACTTTAGTCAGTTTTCGGTTTTGGGGAGTTTGGGGATTAGGAATTTCAGGGTTTCTGGTCACAGCTTTTAGGGCTTAGCCTACATTTAGGGTTAAGGGATGCCTATAAGCCCTGCTTCCTGAAGCCTTAAAGCCTAAAGCCCATATGCCCAGCCTACATCGGATTCCTGAACAATGAACTCAAGCTCCCAGCTTTCCTGTTGCAGTGTTCCGGGTGATCTATATAATACAGGGGCCTTAAGAATTAGAATAGGGGTCTGGGGTGTCTTATACTAGAGTTATAACAAGGAACCCCAAAACCCTATTCTAATTATTAAGGCCCCTGTACTAGAAACCTCGGGCTCTTCAATAGAGGGTTTAGGGTTTGGGGTTACGGGGAGAGAAGGCGAAACAGCTTGGAGGGTAGACACAAAAAGTATGGGCTTGTTGCTGGCCCAAGTAATGATAAAGAAGTAAACCTATTCAAGCATGTTGTAAGTCTACATGTCCTAGCAACCTCGTAAGGCCATGCAGTCATCATGGCTGCTGCTTGGCTGCGATCGTTCGAACCATCACCGGGACCAGCCAGCTGGCTCCTGCCTCCCTCCTGGCGTCGAACTCGCGGCTCTTGCTATTTCGCTTCAAAAACTGCCTGAAGACTAAACCGTGAACCTTGAACCCTGCGCACTAAATCCGAAAGCCTGAAACCCTCAGCTCTATACCCTGATGAACCCCAATGGGTTTGGGCCTTGAGAAAAACCGGGTTCCACTGTCGAAGTGGTCTAGTGTGCTCAAACCTAAACCAGACACTCAAGCCTCAAAGTAATATTTCAAGGTGTTGCTCAATGCCCATGATTCACCAAACGGGGCGGTGCAGAATACATCAAACCGCTCAGTTCGGACTTTCGAAGGCAGGCCATATGGCGATTGGAACCTCAAGTCAAACGCCCTTCCTGCCCGACGAGAATACATGATCCATCATGATAGAGATGTGATGTAGAATACTTGTGTACGAGCTTTATAGACAAGTCACAACTTTAAAAACAAAACAAAACTTTTAAGGCGATGACACCCTCTGCCGAGCAGGAAAAGCAAGGGCGAGGAGCATGATCCACGTCAGCAGCTGCTTGGCCTTGGACAGCTGAGCACTGCCAAGTTTTACTTGGAACCTTTCGGGCTTTGGGGCTTAGGGTCATGATACTCGGTATAGTCTAAGTACAATCAGCCCGTTGGGTGGCATGATTGTCGATTACCCCTTGGGATTGCTTCGTAACTTTGTCACGAAAACAGTTCTTTACCAACGAACATCCAGCTAAGCCACACGGCGAAGTGGATTGCTCTGGGCTCTTACACTGCAGATGCCACTGCATGTGCCGCTCATGTTCCTCAAAGTGCACCAAGCCGCCAGACACTGCATGAGATTGCCAGCAGCACTGAAACAACACAACCGGCGACAATCGCTTCCATCACAACTACAGCAACCCGTAGTGCTACCGCCATAGGCATCATTGCAGTGGCAGGTTCAACCTATAGATATCTATGGCCATGGTGCCGCGACGACAGCAACGAAGCTAGGGGCCCAGACCTTTGTGCTTCGACCTGCAATCTTAGCGACGATCCGATTGAACTAAAGCTTGGAAACCGATGCCCCTAATCTCCGAATCCATACAACCTCACAGCAAGTATTCAGGACGCCCACATACTTGTTGTTACGGCCACGGCCTTGTCTGCTTTGTTGTTCCTGTCATATTTCTCCATCAATATAGACAATAGTCTGGACAGTTTCCACACCTCTATATGTTCTTCTATCTTCTGAATCATGCCGTGGACGAACAGGAAGAACTCTGCACGGCCTGCGGCCACCGAAAACATAGGAGTTACCGCTAATAACTTCAATGGCAACAGTAACCATGAGAAGAAGAATACGAAGGATACCAATATTGCTTCAATAATGCTAAAACCTATCGTATCAGGATCTATCAGACCATAAGATGGATCCCGCAGGAATTCTTCGGTAAACGCCCTTGGCGTCCCTCCCCAGGTGCCCCGGCGAAGGTCGTCTTTCCGCCAGCCGGGTCACCCTTAACGAGGAGCCTCAGGGCTTGGACTTTTTTCCCTCTCGCATTGCAGAGATCTATGCTCACAGCAGGAAGGTTTAGGATTTGTTTGTACATGTTTAAGGTTTAGGGTTATAACGCTCGGGGCTTAGGGTTTATAGCACGATTTAAGGTTTAGGCTTCTGGGGTTACTTAGGTTGCTTGATTTCTTTTGAGGGCCTGTTGCCTGCCAGAATTACGAACTCCAGCGGGGCTTCGGGGGCATAGGATATAGGTGCTAGGTTCGGGGCTCATGACGGTATCATCCTTCAACGAACCCCTCAGAAAACATGTTGCTCGATGACAAACTGGTTCCGCTCCGAGGTTCTATCTACATGCATACATACATGCATGCATACATACCTACAATAATAAACAAATAAACAAATAAATAAATATACATAAGTATATATATATATATACATACATACACCCATGCGCCTACACATGAAGCCCTGATCCCTGGATGGGACCGGGGCAACCTCAAACCCGACGAAATGGTGGCTATGACCCCTTATAGCTTAGTGACATAGTGGGTGTAGCTCTTCAATCGTTTTAGCCGGGTAACCTCATGTCCCGATGAGTGCCAAAGAAGCCTTGAAGTATCCCCTTTTTTTGCATCTGGTTTGCAGCGACTCAACCAGGAAGTATCCCCTACACCCTAAAACCTCAACCCTGAACCCCTGAAACCTATAATCCCCTAAAACCTGAAACCTTAAGTCTATAATCCCCTGAAGATTCCGAGGCCCCGACTGGCGGGTCTTGAACATGCTACGGGGCTTGTCCTGACTGTTCTGGTTTAGGGTTTCAGCACTCACAACTGGGATAAGCCTGGCCGGGGTTTAGGGTTTAGGGTTTAGGTTTTAGGGTTTAGGGGTTTAGGGTTTAGGGGTTTAGGGGTTTAGGGTTTAAGGTTTTGGGTTTAGGGGTTCCTGGTACAACGCAGCACTTTGGCTAAAGCACAAGGGTTTGGGGTTTATGCTCTCGCAACTCGGACTCCGCCAGACGAGGCTTTTGAGAATATGGGGGTTTCAGAACAAAGGGGACCCGAATATAGCACCCTAAATAGTAGGATCCTTATTATAAGGACCCCAAAATAAGGTACCCCTAATTTTCGGAAACTCCCATATGGGTTCAGAGTTTTGAATTGCTTTTCCCAGGGTTTTGAGTCTAGAGTTTAGGGTGTTCCTAGTCTAGCGTTTAGGCTTTGAGGGCTTTGGGGTTTGTAAGATTTAGGAATTTACGGCGAGTCCTCGGAATAGGGCTTAGGGCTCAAGGTCAGGTTAAAGGTCGGGCCCTGGTCAGGCAGTCAGTCAGTTGTTAAGCAGCTTTAATGTAGGGGCCTTAATAAAAGGACCCCCCCCCCAAAAAAAACAGTATAGGTATTTATTTAGGCCCCTCGTATATTAGGGTTAAGGGTTTAGGGTTTGAGGGTTTATGCACTTTCACAATTCGGACGATGCAGGCGTGGTTCTCGGGCGTAGTAGGGTTTGGGGCTTAGAGAGATCAGGGTTTTGGCGCTTGCAGTGTCTGCCGCAGGTTCTGCGCAGAGGTTTTGTGTCAATTTCGGCTTGATCGACTCGACCCACCCTCACAGAAGCCGCGACGCGCACGTAGAGGGCCGTTCACCCATACTCCAAACCCTCCACCCCCCAAACCGACAACAGCTTTAGGTTTGATGGCTTGTGGAGTCTAGCCCAGTTCTTGCGCCTTGGCTGGAAGGATTTGGGATTTTTCTCGCTGCCGTGGTTTGAAATTTTGCGATCAGTCTTATTTTATTCGCTTGCGTTGGTTCGGCGAATCATCCACGAGATTCGTTGGAACCCTAAACCCTAAACCCTAAACTCTGAAACCCTAGGTTTGTTAGACACCCTCAAGCCGTTTCCAGGCTTTGAGGCTTCGACTTTGTGAGGTTAAGACTTCTCCTAGGCCCTACCCACAAGCCCCAT